CCGTAACCACGTGCTGCGTGTATATATGGCCATCCACCAACACGAGACCCGAGCGCACAACGGCGAAGGGCCGGCCCCTGGGTGGGAGCAACACACTATTAGAACTGGGGCAGCTGGGGCAACGAAAGCGACCGACCCAACACAACTCCACGAACAAACGACAAAGCGGATGCACGTACACGTACGCGTACGCGTACACGTACACGTACACGTACACGCACACGTACACGTACACGTACACGTACACGTACACGTACACGCACACGTACACGTACACGCACACGTACACGCACACGCACACGCACACGTACACGTACACGCACACGCACACGTACACGTACCGTACCGTACACATACACGCACACGCACACGTACACGTGCACGCACACGCACACGTACACGTACACGCACACGCACACGTACACGCACACGTACACGTACACATACACGTACACGTACACGTACACGCACACGTACACGTACGCGTACACGTACACGTACGCGTACACGTACACGTACGCGTACGCGTACGCGTACGCGTACACGTACAAGCACACGTACACGCACACGTACACGTACGCGTACACGCACACGTACACGTACACGCACACGTACACGTACGCGTACACGTACACGTACGCGTACGCGTACAAGCACACGTACACGTACACGCACACGTACACGTACGCGTACACGCACACGTACACGTACACGTACACGTACGCGTACACGTACACGCACACGTACACGTACACGTCACGTACACGTACACGTACACGTACACGCACACGTACACGCACACGTACACGCACACGTACACGTACACGCACACGTACACGTACGCGTACACGTACACGTACACGTACACGTACACGTACACGTATACGCACACGTACACGTACACGTACACGCACACGCACACGCACACGCACACGCACACGCACACGTACACGTACACGTACACGTACACGTACACGTACACGTACCCGTACACGTACACGCACACGTAAATACCGGATGTCTTGCTACGTGTGAACGCGGCTATTATCTCGAGTGTATAATATAGATATAGATATATAAAATATATATATTTATATTTATATATATATAGATATAGATATATAATATACATATTTACATATATATATATATACAATATGTAATATATATACATATATTATATATTCAATAGCCGCGTTCACACGTAGCAAGAAATCCGGTATTTAGCGTTCACACGAGGCAAAATGCGCGGTCCAAGAAATACGGTATCTAAACAGATCCGGTATTTGATGTAAATACGCGGCTTCCCAGACCCCGAATAATTTGCCGTGCTTGAGAAATACCGGATCTCTTGGACCGCGCATTTCCTCGGGTGAACGCTAAATACCGGATTTCTGAAGCCGCGTATTTTATAGACCGGTCCGCGCTCGACAGTTCCAGTGTAACGCGAGTGGAACTGTCGAGCGCGGACCAGTCTACGTATTTTATCGGCAGTCGGTGCGCATTGCATTGTTTATTTCGCATTGTTCGCTTGATTGTTTAAAGCAGCTCGCAGCTCGCAAATACCGTATTTCTGGAGCCGCGAATCAGCGTGTGAACGCTCAGCCGCGTATTTGTGTCAGATTTGGTATTTCGAAATACCGTATTTCATGAATACGAGGTCTCGTGTGAACGAGGCTATTATATATAGATATCTATAGCCGCGTTCACACGTAGCAAGAAATCCGGTATTTAGCGTTCACACGAGGCAAAAGCGCGGTTCAAGAAATACGGTATCTAAACAGATCCGGTATTTGATGTAAATACGCGGCTTCCCAGACCCCTAATAATTTGCTGTGCTTGAGAAATACCGGATCTCTTGGACCGCGCATTTCCTAGTGTGAACGCTAAATACCGTATTTCTGAAGCCGCGTATTTTATGGACTGGTCCGCACTCGACAGTTCCAGTGTAACGCGAGTGGAACTGTTGAGCGCGGACCAGTCTACGTATTTTATCGGCAGTTGGTGCGCATTGCATTGTTTATTTCGCATTCTTCGCTTGATTGTTTAAAGCAGCTCGCAGCTCGCAAATACCGTATTTCTGGAGCCGCGAATCAGCGTGTGAACGCTCAGCCGCGTATTTGTCTCAGATTCGGTATTTCGCAAATACCGTATTTCATAAATACGAGGTCTCGTGTGAACGAGGCTTATATTATACACTCCTGGTACTATTAGCTCTTATTATTACGTATAACACGCGTGCGTGCGTGCGCGCGCGTAACACACCCACGCGTTCTTCCTTGTTTATCCCCGCCCCATGACCTTTGCATGTCTCTCTATTTCTCCTTCCCCCTGCCGCGATGCCACGGCGTATAATCAGCTAATGCGAGTGAATTACCTCTCAGCTCGTCGTACATAGCTGAGTAGACAGGCGCGCTCAGTTTTTCTCCACCTCATCATCATCCTGCCGCGCGCACGCAGGCGTTCGTTTGATCTCTCTCTCCCTCACCGAGTGTGAGCGAGCGGTATTATTGAAGTTTCACAGCAGTTGGCAAGCGTTCATCATAACACACCTATCGACGCTGCTTGCTAAATAGCGCACACACGAAGAGAGGGAGAGAGAGATAAAGAGAGCGAGAGAGAGAGAGATAGAGAGAGAGAGAGAGGGAGCGAGAGAGAGAGAGAGAGAGAGAGATAAATAAATAGAGAGAGAGATAAATAAATAGGTAGGTAGATAAAAGGCTAGCTAGAT